CCCCCTCCCGACTGCCGCCGGCCCCGCCCCCCGCGCCGCCGCCGCCGCCGCCGCCGCCGCCGCCGCCGCCAACGGCGCCGCCGGCCTGCCCTTCATTGCTGCGGCCGAACAGGGCTTCGAACGACCCCAGGGCGCCGCCAACCGCGCCCCCCACGCTTGAGCCGAGCGTCTCCCCGAGCGCCCCCGCGAGCGCCCGCCCGAGCGCGCCGCCGACGGCGCCGCCGACGACGGAGGCCGCCGCGGGCGTGCGCTCGCCGGATGCGGTCGCGCCGGACTTGGCGTCGATGCCCTTTCGCAGGCGCTCGTCCCGCGCGGCCTTGCGGGTGGCGGCGGACAGCTCAAGAGCCTCCCGCCGGCCCAGCTCCCGCGCCTGGCGCTCGGGCGCCAGGTCGGACTGCGGCGCCGCGCGGCGGTACACGACGACCACCTCCCGGACTGCGAATTTTGCAGGGCGGGAGTCGCAATGCAGTCAGTCCGGGGCAGTCCGGGGGCAGTGCGGAGGGTGAGGACGACGACCGGGATCTGGCCGAAGCCGCTGCGCACCATGCCGCGCACCAGCGCAAGGCACCGCCACCAGTCCGCCAGATGAAACCCTCTCTCTGACCCTGCTCCCGAGAGCCGCCTGGACTAAGCGCCCCGCAAGCCGCCACTCACAGGTCGGCTCTGTCAGCACCTCTTCACGCAGCAGCGCCAGCGCCACCGCCGGAACCGTCGGAAGCAGCGTACGAAGCGACCGCCGCTCCACGAAACGAGCGGCGCGCCGCCGCGGCGGCGGCGACGGCGGCGGCGACGGCGACGATGGGGGCGACGACGGCGGCGAGGAGGACGGCGGCCGGGGCCCCGGCATGGCGCCGGAATAGGCCGCCGCGGCTGCCGCCTCGGACTCGAGCCGTTGGAGCGCCGGGGAGCCGACGAGCCTCGCAGGCGCCGCCCGCACGTCCACACCCCCTCCTCCTCCTCCTCCGCCGCCGCCGCCTTCGCTGCTGCCATTGCTGAGGCTGTCGCCTTCAAGCGCCCGCCACTCGGCGCCGTGCCCGTCCTCGTCGCCCTCCAGCCACGCGTTGAGCCGCCGCAGCGCGGGGCTGAGCGGCGCGGCGCGGCGCACGAGCGGTTCAAGCAGCGCGCGCGACGCGCGGGTGGCGGCGGTGGAGAGGGGCTCCAGGAGGATGTAGTTGACTAACAGGTCCATCTTCTCGTTCTGCAGCGATGCGAAGTTTGGTGTGAAGTTTGACGTGAACAGGAAACAGCGTGGCGGCGCGACGCGACGCATCAATCCGGGGATGGGGCTTAAGGGGGTGGGGAGTGGTGAAAGGGGGTGTCCGATTGAGCCAGCTATGTGTTGCTGTAAGCGGGTGGGGTAGATCGAATCGGCGTACATGGCCCAAAATGCACACTGGATCCCTTTTGGCCTGGGATGACGTAATGGGTGTGTCACCGCACCACTCATTGCATATGACGGATACATGAGTGATGTGGTGCCATACAATATGCTACTTCGCAAGAGATAGCAAAACACCCGAATACACAAAAGTCATCATCAAAGGGGGGAAACGGGCCGCCGGCACTCTCGCTCACATAGTACTGGCCGCGCGCCGACGACGCGCCCACGCCCCGCACAAACACGAGCACCCTGTCGCTGAACGCCGGCAGCTCCCGCCACGCGCCGGGCAGCAGGATCGGCGCCTCCGCCCGCGGGTCGCCCCCACGCGCGCCGCCCGCGCTTGGGAACAAGCTGTAGGCCCCCGGGGACGACCCCGCGCCCCGCGCCGCCGCCGTCGCGGCAGCCGTTGCACCGGCGGTGGTCGGCAGCCCAAAAAAGCGCCGCAGCGGCGCGGGGTCCAGCGCGGCCCAGTCGATGCGCACGGGGGTGTCAAAGGTGAAGACGCTGGCGCGCGCGTCGCGCCACTGCGCCGCCGTGAGCGGCGAGTAGCGGGCGCGAAGCAGCAGGTTCACCAGATCATCCAGCAGCTCAACCTCGGACCTGTCGAGCCGCTCCGCCTCGGCCGCCTCGGCCTCCTGCCGGGCCGCGGCGGCGGCGGCCCGCTGCTGCTGCTGCTGCTGCTGCTGCTGCTGCTGCTGCTGCGGCTGCTGCTGCGGCTGCTGCTGCTGCTGCGGCCGCGGCGACGGCGCCTTGGGTCGCGGCGCCGCGGCCAGCGCAGGCGCGCCGCGCGGGTCGAACGGCCTGAAGCGGCGCCGCAGGCGGCGGCTCGCGGTCACGTGCTCTAGGGCCAGCAGCGCCTCGAGCAGCGCCACCACCTTTTGGAACCCGGGATGGTGGGTCGACAGCCACGCCGCGTCCGCGCCATCGCCGGCGCAGCCGCTGCCCGTGCTACCGCTGCTGCTGTCATCCCCGCTAGCCGCCGCCTCCGAGGCGCGCAGGTCGGCGTCGAGGGCTGCTATGAGATCCGGCAGGGGGATAGCAGAAAGGCTGGGGTCTGGGGGGGCGTAGATCCGCGGCAGCGCCATTTTCGCGCCGTGGTGCTGTGTGGGCGGCCTCAGCGCCCCGCTGCCCGCGCCTAGGGCGACGCGGAACGCCTGCTGGCGGCGCGGCGCTCGATGCCAAAGCCAAGCCGGAAATGAGTTGAATGGCGCCGCGCGCCGCTGCGTAGCACAGGTTGGGACGGGGCGAGGGGGTGCATGGGGTCGTGGCGCCGCAGCGCTGGCAAGTCGATGCAGCAGCAGCGGTGGGCGTGCAGTGGCGGTCCGCATCGAGCTCAGCCTGCAGGCAATGTCCAATGTCCACAACAAAGCTCCCACTACGCACGTGGGGTCGTCTCTTGCGCTCGGACGCCTGAAACGAAAGACGATCTCTTCGACTTTCAAAGCCGGGGCTCGATCTGAAGCACGCGGGTGTTTGTGAAAGTTCTTTTGATACCTCTATCACAACGCGATCCGCCACGTCGCAGCCGAGCGTACGGTACTGGAGTTCACCAACCCCCGGCAGTGACGCAGGAGCTGACCGCACCGGTGCTTCGCGATGCCAGGGGGCGCGGCGTCATCCAGGCCGTGCCAGGGTTTGACTGCTGGTCATGAGCATGTTACTCACACCTCTACCATTACACCACATGGAGCAGCAGACGCGCTGTTGCCAATTCCATAGGCACGCCGTGCTGCGCCCAATGCACAGCCTGAGCTCCCGCCTCCGACGCACGCACCGCACCCGCTCGCCCACCAGGCGCCTGCCGCGCACTGTCCACGTGCGTGCTGGCGCGCGCTCGCGTGCCCCTCCCGTCCCCGCGCCGCCCCCGCCCCTCACGCGCCTGCTCCCGGCCCCTCCTCGATCCCCAGGGCGGCCCGCGTGTCAATCAGGAGCTCAAGCAGCCGCGGCCCCAGGCAGGCGGGGCCGCCGTACCGCGCTCTGTGCGCGGCGCGGCAGGCGCGGGCGGCGTCGGCCGACTCCTGGTGATCTGGGCCGAACTTGGCCTCCGCACGCACCTGGTGTCGATGCGAAATCGAGGGAATTGGGAATCAAAACAGGGGAGCGGGCAACTGGTGAGGACGGAAGGGCGTGTGCGGGCGGGCTGGCTCCCAAGCGACGCGCAGGCGTCGAGGGCGCGCGCGGCCGCAGCACGGTCCGCGAGGCGCAGCGCGCCGCCCGTGTGGGCGATGAGAGGGGGCGGGCTGCCAATGGCCTTCGCAAGGTGTCGCCCGATCAAGGAGCAATCCACAGCAGGCAATGGAACCTCTCTAATATGCGTTGCACTACGCCCCCGCACCATGTACTCTGCTGCTAGCTCCAGATGGGAGTCGCTGCCCTTCACGACGGCCGCCGCAATGCGCGCGCACTCGGCCAGCGCCTCCGTCTCGGGGCCCTGGTAGGGCGCAAGTTGCAGCGGCAGGCGCGAGCACGGTCAAGCGGCGCACGCAGGCATCCGCGGCCCTGGCCAGCCGAGCGGGCCAGTGCATTCGGTTGTCGCCGCCAACCCCTGGCCCCCACCTTGGGGCTAGGGACATGGCCCGCGGTCGAGTGCACGTGCGCGCATCCACACCTGCTGGTCTTGCCGCCCGCCGCCGCCGCCGCTGCTACCGCTGCTGCTGCTGCTGGCCGCCTCGTCGGCCGCCAAGCTTATGAGATCGTAGAGCGGAAACACAGAGGCCTGCAACCCCACGATTCAGACCGTTTGAAGTTTGTGGGGATCCGTGGGTGGGGTGCAACACCCACGCACCGGCGCAAAAGCGCGTCCCCGCAGCAGGCCCCCTCCTGCCCCGCACGCCGTCCCCGCCCTCCCTCTAGAGCGCGCGCGCGCCTGC